GAATTCTGGGAGTTGAAGTCCACACATCTTCAAGTTGCCAAGGTTGAGGAACACTGCTCTACACTATACTGAAATGCATGCTAATCTCAAGGAACTCCATTCCAATCTTCCCATTAACCATTTGGTTTTGATTTTAAAATGACAAGCCTTACCAACTGTAGGTGCATGGTGGCTATCGTGCTTTTTCCTTGAAAGCATTAGGAATCTATACCTCCACAGACAGACTCACAGCAAGCATATCTTACGGTATTCGACCTACACCAAGAGACTGGCAGCCTCTAGCTGCTTTCTCAGAGAGCATACAATGGGCACTCTTCATGTTCGTTATAGCTTGTGCCCAGGAAAAGAGAACTGAGGGAGACAGAAGGAGCAATTCAGGATAACCAATTCCATCCTGTCTGGTATTATTCCTTCCTAATAGCGATACGCCAAACTAAATAAAAGGAATTTTTGAGCTGCAGTTTCAGTTCCGAGGAATCTGAATTACTTAAAAATGGGGGAAGGCGTATGATGCCTGAGATAATTTATTATTTTTAACACAGAAAATGCTTCACAGTCTTCTTTCTCCAGGGTATCACTGTTATTAGGAAGACAGAAGAGGCCTACTCAGGATGCCAGTTTTGAGGCACAATCTTAGACACACTTAACTGAGAGTGATCTTCATTGAACATAATGAGATTTAATTTCAAGTAAATATACGTAGGATTGCACATCAGGGCTTTCTTCTTCTTTAAAGATTATTAGATTTTCACCACAGGGGGAGAAAAAGCACTTCTGGGATTTCCCTCAGAGGTGTCGAAAAGCCCTTTATCTTCACAACAAGGCTCTAATGGAGTTCTGAAACCACAAAATATTAGGCTGTTCTGCGTTTTCTTCCTCAAAAATACTCACATGAGGGCAAGGAACAGGAAGCACACCAGTACCTTAATTGTGTCCTGGAGTTTGCTGTGAGTGGGTGAAAAAGGAAATCCAAGCATTCACCCATCAAGTAGCGCTTCCTTATTTCCCTGTATTTTCTCTAAAGTTCAGCGTCACGGGCTAGAATAGAAAACTAAATCTCCCAGTAGGGAAACCACCTCTCTTCTCCCAAATTCACACCAATCTGTTATGGACTATCACCGGCCAACAATGATGAGGAAAATATTTTTTGACTTTCCTCAGAGAGACATCTTTCGCGTCGATAGCCGGCTAGAAAGAAAGAGCTTAAATCCGTTCCTGCCGCCCCACGCTGGCTTCCCCTCTCTCTTGTCTGAAAGTTTCTTTTCCCAGACTTCCCACGTAATCTGCCGCCATTAGGTTTCCTCTTTCGTCCCTTTCCGCACCGCCCATTTAGGAAAGTGGGTACCTCAATATCCACAGGGTCTCGGCTAAGCAAGCGATGCATAGTCCCCCCTTTTTTTTTTTGCCGCTCCAAGAAACGCTGAGCAATCGAAAGCGAAAGGACACACTGGCCAACGCAGCCACGTCAGCATGGGTGGACAGTATTTGTGTATATTAGGGTGTGTGTGCATGCGCGCGTTGCTTTAATTTCAAGGCTGCTAGAAATGCTGTTTCCTTGTCTTTGCGCCTTGGATTGGGGAATGCAAAGGGCAGCGCTTCGTTCAGTAGCCCTGCCTTGCTATCTACATCAGCCGAGTTTTAATTTGATTCAAGGGTCGCCTAGTCGGCAGCTCGGCAACCTTTTTGGAATGCCAGGGATAGGTGAAGGTAGCATGCTTGCATCAGAGCACGTGCGAAACCCTCGCATCTTTTCGCAGTGTAACCAGGCTGGGACTCCAGATTTCTTCCTCATTTGCGTCTCCTTCGTCTTCTTAAATAAAGGAATAATCTATCTTTTAATGCTTTTATATCTCAGGACAAGAGAACGACAAACGACATATAATCCATTATTATTATAAAATCATAGTGAAAACGGGAAAAATAGACAAATAAAATTGATTAGGCACATTAAACACAAGAACTGTAATAATCAAGTATTCCGCAGACGTCACTTTTCAAGTGGCGGGAGGAGGGAGAGGATTTGGCAAGTGATTGGATTGCTAAATAACGACAGCCGAGGCCGTGCACGTTGGAGATTAGGAAAAAGCAGAGTTGGTCTAGATCCAAAGCAATCAACGTGGAGCCTCCCAGCATTGTTCATCTCTATTTCGGGTACCAGCTTTGCATGTTGCTCTGTCTGTAATCACTGCACCATGATAGGAGACAATTCTTAGCTGGTCAATGGCCAAAGGCTTTGCCTGTTGGATTTCTGTATGTCAGAAGGTATTCTGCTTAGACTGCAAAAGGGGGGTCCCCAAAGGAGGGAAGGAGGACTGCTCGAGGCTGATCCCCAGCCCAGAGAGGAGGTTAGCTATGGGTCCCCAGGATGCCATGCAAGGAGAAGCCCAGAGAAGACTCCCACTCTGAGGAAAAGAAGCTCCAGGGTCAGGAGAAAACTAATTTCAGAGCAAGGTGTTTGGATGGGAGAAGGAGACCAAATGCCTGGCCACCATGAATGCAGCAAGCCACTTTCCTTACCTTGACAGTGTTGTTGCTGGAGGAATAGCAAAACATCCAGTCCACGTTGATGCTGTCATTCTCCACAATATCCTGGGGGAGGAAAAAGAGGGAGTTCAAGCCCTGGCTTGGCTGATCCCCCACCTGGGAGTCCTCTGCCACCTCCTTGCTGCAGCCTTGCAGGGGGAAAAGAAGTCAAGGGAGCTGTGCCCCTTCCCCTGGGACAGCTGCCCTCACCTGCAAACTCTCAGACAGTATTATTCATGATGCAAATGTTGGGTGGGCCAATACAGACTCCTGTGAATCACGTTGGATGTCCCACATCTGCAGGGCAGAGACACCATTGGCCCCCAGCCATGTGAGCAAGTATGGACCAGCAGAGTGGGTGGGAGGGAGGGGAAGCCAAGTGGGGGAAGCACTGTCTATGGACTTTGCCTCCTGTCTCCCAGCACTCCCTACTGCGGGGGCTATCACCCTCACATTAACCAAGGAGTACTAGAGGTCCATGTTTAATGGCCCCACCTTTTCCTGGAAGACAACAATTGAACTGATTGAATTGAATTGAATTGAGTGGAGGGGTAAAGCAGGCCTTTGCTTGGTCTCCAACTGGACCTAAGGGTGGGGGAAAGATAAAGGAACTTTACTCAGAAGAGTCTCCTGTTCTCAAAAATCTGGTATTTGCCATGTGCCCTCATGAGGGAGTTGTAACAATACAGTATATTGTTTCTGGGGCTTTAGGTGATTCAGTCTTGTTTTGTTTTACTTTTAACTGTAAGCTGCCAGAGTCATTGGGAGTCAGGCGGCCTATAAATTGTATAAATAATTAAATAAATAAAGTTGCTGGGGGAAATCAAAGCTGGCTATCTCCAGCAGTTATTCCTGGCCATCCAGGGCTACTCATTGCCTAGCTGGCCAGATCACCATACTTCCTAGCCACCTGCCTTCCATTCATTCCCCATCCCCTCCTGGAGAGCAACTTTGCTCCTTGATTCATGCACCTGAACATTAGGAAGCTGGAAACCCTAAATGTGGTGTTTCCATATGGGAACCCCCAGTGCCACAATTATCAGGGTGCTGAATATGCCTGCAAGCACACACCACATTGTAGAGTGACCCTGTCTCCCAGCCAGAATCATGCATACACATCCTGAAAGGGCATAGCTTGGCAGATCTGGGGAGGACAGTTGGATGTCACGCACACAGCAAATTTCCTATTGGGCCTTGCAGAGGAGGGGGCGTCATGGGGGTGAGCCAACTTCCCTTCCCTGAGAGGAAGGAAGGCAGGGCTGGAAGAGAACAAGCTGGAGAAAGGCAGTGCTGAGCATCAGGAGAGGTGACCAGAAAAGGAAGTTAGGGAACTTCCAAAGATCTCCTAGGGCAAACAGAGCCTCTTTTTTGAAGGTGGGTGCCCTCCCCTTGTTTTTACTTCAGCAGCAAGAGAATGACTCTTCTGCATCCAAAAGCACCCAATTTTATCATAGGAAAGGTCATCCATGTCAAAACGGAGGTTATCAAGGGGCAGCTACCCATTCATCCAATGGATGGGCCACAGCTAGTCCATCTGCTTACTGATCCTACATAGTGTCCAACTATCTATGGGGAGAGGGGGCAGGGTTTGAGTTACAGAGCTAATCAGTCTCCCCACCAGCTGCAGTAGTTCTCCAGCACCCTGCCCAGAGATATCTGCCCCAAATGTTCAGAGGGAGGAAAATTCATACCGCTGGGGCACCACCAAGACGACTGGGCCCTGGATGAATCCAGATGGGTGTCCTCCCAGGCCACCACATGCAATAAACTTTTAGCCAAAGATCACAGCTCCCTGGATGCAACTTACATGGAAGATATTCATCCAGAAAGGCAGAGCCCAAACCATGTAGGGAGTTACTGTGGAGTAACGGGCACTGGGAGCTGGATCAGCTTGACCAGAATTGATGTTGCATGTTCCTGTTGCAAAGCCCCAAGAGAAACCCTGCCACCTCAATTTCTGAGTGTTTTCCCCATGAGGTACACATTAGCCTCATCTAAAGGGAGGTCAGCAACATGTGGATAACAGTGGCCACTCCAAGAATAGATGCTGTTTGTTTGTTTGTAGTGTGTTTCCTGAGCTGGTCTACCTCAAAGAGCTGACACCAAGGGTTGGAATTCATTCTTGAGGGAAGGCTGTTGAGGTGTTAGGGATTTTGGAGAGCTCTGGAGGAAGCAGATTATCTTTCCCAGCAGGAGAGACTCAGTACCACTAACCTGGCCCAATCACATGGGAGAAAAACCAGGTCTTCAATGCTCTGTGCAAGTTTTGTAGGGTTGAGAATGCTGGCAGATTTCTTTTCTCCTTTTTCTTAAGATCTCCAATTGCCTTCTTCCACACCATCCACATGCAGGATGCATCTCATTCCCTGTGGCTGTGTGGTAGGTGTGAGAAATACGAGGTGGAGTTCCTAGAGCAGCTCCATCTTAAGCCCACTCTAGCACTCCGTTTCTCTGCTGGCAGTAAGAAGAGATGACTAAACTGCCCTTTAACCTCTCTTATTTGTGTGATTTGCTAAGGCTCAAACTATGAGGCCACTCTAGCCCCATGTAATAGTTTATTGTGCAAGAGAGCATAGATCCTGGGTTTGCTAAGACTCCAGACTATGCTAAAATCAGGTTGAGTTGTGTGTGCTTGGTTCAGTTTCTTGTGGGAATCTGCCACTGGCTGCATTCATCCAACATCCTTGATTTGGTGACTGAATTTATCAGTTATCTAGCTAGGTTCACAGAAGACACTAAACCACATGCAAATCAAATGGAGGGGTGGGAGGAGGGTCCCATATTATGCCACCAAGCAAAGGCTAAATAGTAAGTAAGTCTAGCCTGCTGCCTTCCAGAACTTTCTGCCTGACTTTGCACCTGGAAAGAGAATCCAGGTCTTTGGCCCACTGGGCAGCTCCAGTTATAAAAAGAAAGGGGTGGCTCCCCACCCACTGGCACTTGGGCTTTTTCACCAAAGTGATCTGCCTGTGATCCACAACCCCAGGATGTGCAGCTTTTTGCCCAGCCCTGGCTGGACCCCACTGCGGATCTGAGCCATTGGGCTATCGTGCACTGTAGAAGCCCTGGGTCTTAATTGTTCTAGGAAAGAATTCCTAGAAATTGACTGGATTATTGATTACACTCCTATCCAGTCATTCTACCAGAGAGATCAAGAAATAACATATGGGGCCCCTCCCTTTTCTCCTGTCCCCTTACTTTGCAATCAACTCTGTGAGGTGATTTAAAATGAAAACCAATAAGCAAATGGAAATTGGGTCCAGAATTTAATGCAGTAAAGCTGATAATAACAATTGTGACTTAACAGGAAAATTCCTGATTTGGACTGAGGAAATTTGGCTTTATACTCCACATGTGCTTAACTTTAGGAGTCTTTATAAATATTAAAAATACATTCTGAGAACTCAGAAGTGGATTTACTTAATCTTTTATAATAATTTTCATGTAACTAGTACTCTGATTCTACAGGAAATTAAATGTTAATTTGTGGTTAACTTCAAATTACTAAAATAAAGATATACAAGGATAAATATATACATAGAAATATAAATTGTAAAATACTTTGTACTGTATTATTTATACCTTAAGAATACAATACCAACAGAAACATATTGTTCTTGTTTTGGGAAATGACAATGAGCATAGACTTGTTTCATAAATGAACAAAAACAAAATAAATTGATGTCCAAATCCAATTTAATGCTTACCTTAGCATATCCATGTTATATTACAAGAAACTTTTGAGCAGACTCAAAACCAGATATGTTGTTGTTAGGCGTTTTCAGCAGCTTTCAGCATGCATATCTTTTTCAGTTTTCACAACCTCACTGACCCTGACTAACTACCCCAAACCCACCTCCATTCATTGGAAAACAGAAAC